TAGGGCAGAGGTTGGTGTCAGTCAGTAGAGCAGTGGATGGTGTCAGTCAGCAGGGCAGTGGACAGTGTCAGTAGGGCAGAGGTTGATGTCAGTCAGTAGAGCAGTGGATGGTGTCAGTAGAGCAGTAGACAGTGTCAGTAGGGTGGAGCTTGGTGTCAGTAGAGCAGTGGATGGTATCAGTAGTTTTTATTTTTACATTTTTTATTTTTTTTATATGTTTCACATTTTTTTAGGAGCCCTGTTGAAAGAGGAGAACTTGGGGGAAGGGACACAGAAAAAAGGAGGAACAAGGACAGGAGGGGCAGTTGGGAGGCATTTACTAGAATTGATCCCCTGGATTTTCCTCCTGCAGCAGCTGTACGCTGGTGGGAGGGTGAGGAGGAGATTCTAGTTTTCTACTGCTCCAGGAGGACAATGGGATCATAGGAAGGCTGGTATTTAAAAAATCTGAATTCCCAGCAAGTGGCTGGAATTTTTCTGCCCTCCAGCTCCCCCGGTGCTCTAAGGCGGCTGCCCAGGCAGTTGTATGCTGGGCACCAGCATAAGGCTGCATAGGCAGCTGCCTCAGGGCACCAGGGTGGGGAGGGAGCAGACAAATCCCAATCCCCAGCCACTTGCTGGTAATTCTGATTTTTAGAGTACCTGTCCATGGGAGGGAGATGGGGTTAAAGTGGGGGCAAAGGGGGGGGGGGCAGAGGACAATACTGTGTGTGTGTGTGTGGGGGGGGGGGGGTGATATGAAGAGTGGTAATGGGGGTGGCCCTGCCCATAGCAGTTTCCTCTGCACATCACCTTCTCCCCCCAGTAGTGTCCTCTGCTCCCTCTTTCCTCCATAGCAGTGACCTCTGCCCCCCCCCGAAATGTCTTCTGCCCCCCCCTTTCCCCCAACCTCCTCTGCTGCTGCTGTCACCCGACCTAGCACCCAATCACCTGCGGGTTAATATGAACCCCTGCTCTCCGTCCTGACTCCTGCTGTCTTCCGTTCTCCGCTGTGCACTGAGGATGATAGCAGCAGTGGAGGAGGCTGGAGGAAAGGGGGGGGACCACAACTAAAAGGCGGGTTTGGCAGCACAGGGACCTGTTCGCAGTCTACTTTACCTGTCACCTGCCCGCAGTCGACAGGTAGACTGTGATCGTCAGTTTGCCAATTCCCACTCTAGTTAATACATCCCCTTGCTAGATCCTGTTTAGTTTAATTTCACTTTCATTACAGACACAGGGCTTAAACAGGAACTTACCTCTATCATACACATTATACCAAAGACACCTTTAGAAATGTCCACCACCCCGTTCTTGTAACAGTGCCCAATTTTACAAAGTGCAGATTATGAATCCATCTTCCTTTACTTCCTGGAACTCTAGAATTCTAGGTTTTTGTCCTGGAACATATGATTTCATATCAGCATGCAGAGCTGTATGGTACTGTGCCTAGAAGACTGTAGGTAAGTAAGAGAACAAGAACCTTTTCTAATTGGAAGAGTGGGTTTGATAATAAAGGTGGAAGTGCCTCCAATCAGGACAGGGCCTCTGTGAGTAGAGGGAATTTCCTTTTCTGGGAAACTGACTAGTTATCTAATCAAGGTCATTAGGAGCAAAGGAACTTCTGCAGTCAGCATATAACATTATCCATAGGTATATAGATTCACACCATTATGGAAATAATATGATTTTTGTATAATAAAAGATTAATAACCGTACATATATACAATGTAAAAACAAGTAATATCAACAAAGGGCTCTGCAAGAGTCCTGGTGGAATTGTGCAGGGATACTTGGAAATACAGTATGTATGTGTATATTATATACAGTGCCTTGAAAAAGTATTTGCAGCCCTGGAAATTTTCCACATTTTGTCATGTTACAACCGAAAATGTAAATGTATTTTATTGGCATTTTATGTGATAAACCAACACAAAGTGGCACATAATTGTGAAGTGGAAGGTAAATGAGAAATCGTTTTCAACATTTTTTACAAATTTGTGAAAAGTGTGGGGTGCATTTGTATTCAGCCCCCCTTTCTAAAATCTAGTGTAACCAATTGCCTTCAGAGGTCACCTAATTCATAAATGGAGTCCACCTGTGTGTGATTTAATCTCAGTATAAACACAGCTCTTCTGTGAAGCCCTCAGAGGTTTGTTAGAGAACATCAGTGAACAAACAGCATTATGAAGGCCAAGGAACACACCAGACAGGTCAGGGATAAAGTTGTTGAGTAGTTTAAAGCAGGGTTAGGTATTGAAAAAATAACCCAGGCTTTGAACATCACATGGAGCGCTGTTCAGTCCATCATCCGAAAATGGAAAGAGTATGAGATATTCTCGTCTTGGTTACTGAAACTCCAAAGTTGAGACTTGTTTTTTGGTTCGCCTTACAGACATTCAATGTAGCTTTTAATATATGCTTTTGAATATGAATTAGTGATAGGCAAAGGCATGCAGAAATTTTTTGGAAACATTATTTTATTTGAAGAAAAAAAGTTTCTCCATAAAAAGCCTCGTAAGTGTGTGCGTTTATATAGTCTCTTCAACCTCACATGGAACACAGATAATGCACAAAGGATTTGCCTAGCTAAAGAGACCTTTGCACTATACATAAAGATATACCGTACAGAAACAACCTAGATAATAAACTGAAGTAGCTAACTCACAGAATATTACACTGGGTTCATTTTTTCTTTTACTACCACAGTTACACCAATGTATTTAAAACTGAAACATTTAGTTAACTTACATTGAAAGTCAAAGGGCCAACATAGCAGACCCATTAGCCACAGACTAGGAATTAAAGGCCAACTTAAATATTATTTTAGGTTGAGCACTGGTGGACTGAACAGTTTGCTTTATTGCTCATTTGGAAAGTCCAACATCTAGAATTCCATAATGTGGGCATCTGTTATATATAGGTTCCCAAATTATGTGATTATTCTGCATTATGGAAAATCCTTAAGAAGGCAGTGACGCCAATATTTAGCTTTCTAAGGTTGCTTTTGTGGAGAGATCTTATAAATTGACTTACTAAAGCTGATCCCAAACCAGTCAGATTTTCCTAAATTACATCTATGAGACCATCCAAATTTACCAATAGCTTTGTAGAGCAAAGATCTAACAAAACAATCTATTCAATTTATGTTTGATCAGGTAGGACCTTGCACTACATAGTTAACTGATATATTTTTCTGATCTAACAGATCAAAATTAAACAGAATCTAATTGGTGTATGGCCAGAAATAAGAGATATCCACACAGCATCGACACAAAACTGAAATATGATTATAATTTGAAATTAACCTCTAACATTTTAATTTCCTTTTGGATAATTTTGAGGGTTGTGGCACTTTTGCATATTATCAACTGTAGCCTTTTTTAACCATAGACATGCTCAGTGTTATTAGTATACTTGGCAACTTGTCTTGACTGGACAGTCAACATTTTCTGATTTGTGTAGAAAGGCTTTAGAAACAGGGACATGTTTTACCAGAATATGTAAAAATACTGTGGAATGTTGTCGGACTTAAAACAGAGCTCTATCTTTAACCACCCCAACCCTTCCTCCTCCATAAAACTCTTGGATGTTTTGGGTTTTTTTTTAAACATTTATATCCATATCTTTCTGATGCAGTCTTCAGGCTGGTTCAGTGACACCACAGTTGGGCTAAAATTTAATAAAAGACCCCTGGGCTTCCACATTTAATATCCTTGATCACCACAATTTGAGATATTGTATATGGTTCTTATAGAATTGAGATTTGCGAAAATGACATGATTATCATCATAGCTACATTATGTAGTATCTGGTTCCAAAATTCTATGCTACACAAAGCTGAAGAATTTGTCTTCTGCTGGGAAAGGAGGAACCCCCTATTATGAGTTTTGCAATCCCATTTACCTATGCCAATAGGAACTGTGAAAAGTACTGAAACTTTGTAATACAATACTTTACTCAAAGGCTTGTATATACACATTAAACCATGCATTCACGGTTGGCCATAGCACCGTATTGCTTTGCATGGCTTTGGCCACTACACTAAACTGTGAATGTGCTGTTTTTGTGTTAAACATAATGGAATGTAATTGCCTGCTGTACAGTATTCAGGTTGAGGGCATTTGGTGTCTGAACAACAGTAATATGATTGTGTGCTCTGAGCCAATGACACAGTAAGTAGTGAAAGAAAGGATAAGAACGATGAACCTCGCATGCATCTACAAAACCAAGGAAAGAATGGCAGTTGCCATCTTTGTATTCAATTGGATACAAGCTCCAAAATATGTGATTTAGTTGCAGGTAGAATTGGGAGCAATGAATGTAGGATATATAGCAGGTTCTCTTCCATACTCACAGTTCTTGGAAGCTCCTGTTTCGGGGACTTAGTGAACCCATGGCCTGCTTTTGCATCTATATCTATGTACCTATAGACTTTTATGATAGCAACATCTATTAATGCTAGGAGGAAAGAACAAGTTGCAAGTCCTGAAAGTTGCTAGGACCTAGACTTTCAAGCCTTGGATGATGGATGTCAAGGTGAATTTGATTACATTCTAAGCTTACCTCCACTTCGTCACTTATTTGTGGAGTTGCAGTTTAAGTGGTCAGTCACATAAAACTCATATTTCATTTTGGTTGGATGCTGTTGTCAATAGTATAAGTATTAAATATACGGTGTTCTAAGAAGGTCATATTTGGCTAAGCTTTGTTTTTGAAACTTAGGACACATACAGGTTTATTCGGCAAAGCAGTGCAACAAACAATCATGACTCACATAATAACACAAATGGGCTACTGGACTTTGCTTCACATTACTGAATAATCATGATCATGGTGAAACTCAAGACCCTTATCATCTTTTCCCTTATAACTGAGCGGCTAAGACCTCCTTGGCTTTCAGCAGAGCTGTTTCAGATGGAACATTTAAGTCAGGAAGTAACCCTTTGCCTTCCCAGGATGCACCAGCATCTTCAGTGGCTGATCGAGATGTGGGGATGGTGAGGTACAGGTGCGTATCATCCACGTGGTAGGTCTGAGGAGGATGGCATCCTCCACTTTGTTTTTTCTCCAATGACATATGCCCGTCCTAGTCTCTTCATGATATACACAAATTCCTCTGCAGCACCTTCTGTCACTGAGCTGGTTAGTATGACTAATGGTTTCTTGGTGCCAAATGAAGAACCTGCACATGAAATATAGAGACTTACATTAATGAAACCGATCACTGGTTAATATAGGATTGAATCACCTGTTTAATCTTTATTGTGATTTTAGGAACATGCTCTCTATCTCTCTTCTCTGTCATTAAAGTATGGTAAAATGATACCTTCTATGGAAAGATGGCTTGCAAAATTCCTCAAATTATCAACCGTTTCTTCTGCTTGGTTAATAACACACAAGCATCAAACTGACACTCTTATGTGGCTCCCCATTCTATGTGTCATTCCTGCTGAACATGTATATTGTTTTAGTGTGTTTACTTTTAGTTATTGTATTTCCATTCCTGACCTTAGCTTTGCAACTGGTTTCTGATTCTTGTTACCAGTATATTTGTTCTAGGTACATCCAAGCAGATCAGGCCTTTTAACCACTTCAAGTCCGTGCACTTTACCCCCTTCCAGTCCAGGCCAATTTTCAGCTCTCAGTACTATCACAATTTGAGTGACATTTACTCAGTCATGCAACACTGTACCCATATGAAGTTTTTATCCTTTTTTTTGCGACAGAGCTTTCCTTTGGTGGTATTTGATCATCACTGGGTTTATTTTTTGCTATATAAATAAAAAAATACCAAAGAGTTTGAAAAAAAAAAATTTTTGCTTAAATTTATCAAATTTTGCAAATCAATAATCTTTCTTGATAAATTTAGACCAATTGTATTCTGCTACATTTTTAACCCAAAACATTGTATATTATTTAGCCTGTGTGAAAGCTATAGAGTGTACAAACTATGGGATATATATTTGAAAATTGATCAGTTGAGGTCCTAAAATGCCGGATGGTGATCAGGATGCTGGTATGGTGTATGGCAGTGATCAGGGCACTGGTATGATATATGGAGGTGATCAGGGTGCTGGTATGGCAAATGGGTGGTGATCAAGGCGCTGGTATGGTGGTGATTAGGATATTTGTATGGTGTATGGACATGTTATTGTGTGCACTGGGACAGGTGACAGGGCTGGGTGCACCAGTTTGTGAGTGCACATACAACCTGACAGGCTCATGCACACACGCAAATTGCTGTATCACTTCTCACAGTGAGAGCAGAGAGAACTGATCTTTACTTTCACTTTCAATGTTTACTATGTGTGCGCTGTGATTGGTCACAGCAGTCACATGGTAACACACCATGTGATCTCCCGGACACAGCGGTAATATGATCCGCTGTGTCCAGGCAACATTTGGATCGCCCGGCTCTCAGGTGCGTGCTCTGTGAGCCAAATAGGAGCCGCCGATGTGGGCTTACATACAGGTACATTAGCCCACATCGGCAAAGCTTCCCGTCCACCGTCTATAGGCAATGGGCAGATGGGTGGTGGTTAAAGAGGAACTTAACTCTGGAAGCTGTACCCAAAAAGGCAGAAAGATGGCAGAGGACTAATCTCCATCATTGCTTGTAATCTTCCTGCAGTTGACCTTCCCCATTTACTGACTTACCATGCCTTGTTCTGCATTGTGTTTTTATGTGGAGGCAGCCATCTTGGTATAGACAGGGCTATGCTTCCTCATAGTCTTCAGCAAAGAGAACAGTGAGGAGCACAGTGGTGACATCCCTATATCTCACTCCAGATTTCCTCAGACTAGAAGTCAGAGGCCTAAAGAGTATCAATGGTCTAAATTTACAAACATATGTTCATGTCCACATTGACACTCAATTATTTCTAGCTTACTCCTATTAATTTGAATGATCTTGAAGTTTTAAAAGAGTAATTTTTGAAGAATCCCACACATTTACAGTACTTCCTTGAATTCAGTGGCACATATTTAATGTGCCTTCTGAATAGCCACTGCAGTGTCGCACATTAACCAGAACCTTCTGTCTAAACTACAGAGGTGCCGAGAGGAGGAATTTTAGGAGGCAGTCAGTACAACAAAACACACCAGATGTGACATCATCACCGTGTGCAAGCAGTAAGGTACCATATGATAGGTTGTCCTAAGAAATGAAAAGTAAGCTAAAGGAATGGCAGAGAATGGTGGAACAAAAAAGCAGCAAATCATGTAGGGAATCCATAAAGTTGTGGCAAGAGATAACCAGCAGACTGACAGCACTCACAACATGAAAGGAAGCTTATACTGGATTGTCAAAAAATAACTATTGCTTCTATTGCTATAACGATACTGATATTATAAAAAGAAAGGGTATGCTGTGACTTCAGATCTCCTTTAATCACACACTGCAGATATACAGCTATGAGATGGTAGGCATAGGAGTGCCTTGGCACCCTCACATACTAGGAAGTGCATTGCTATTCTTCACAAAGAATTTAAGACAAAATGTGCATTTTCCATCACAGTACTGCTTGGGCACAGTTAACAATCCTACATTTTTCCTCCAACATAGGAAGCTTCACTTTTGAGTTCAGTTTTTATATGCATTGCAAAGCAACAGGTTCACTTTAAGGGCCCATGCACACAGACATAATGGAGAACTGAAAGCATGCTGCTAATGTTTACATGCCTTAAGAAGCATATATGAAGTAAGGCGTACCTAAAACCAGAAACAAAAATGGAATATATTGCAGCTTAACAATTCTCAGAAGTGGTGGCTGCATTCATTTTCTTTAGTTAATTTTGTCTGTTGATCTGGTCAGTACCGTAGGTTTGTTATTTTTCAACTTCCTTTAACAGACTAAACTGTCCAGCAAAAGTGGTAGTCAGGGGCCTGAGACAAAACAGTGGTTCTCAACTCAAACTCTTTTTTTTTACACCAATGCATTCCCTCCGTTAGCCACTTGCTGACTGAGTAATAGCTGTATGACTATATCTATGTAGTCCTCCCGCGCTCTAGGTCTCCTAATCTATATGAAAAGCTGCTAACACCTTACCATTTACCAAATGGGAAAATACTAAATGAGGAGTAATTGGTGCTGCGCTAACCAATTACTCCTCAATAGCTGTAAGATGGCTACACCACGGCCCGCTAGTTCTGGGAGGGTGTCATATGACGTCCTCCCATGATTGCTCTTCCTGCGCACCCCCGGTGGCATGCATCGGGAAGTGTAGGTGATCGCTGTGTCCTTTGGACACAGTGCATCACAGAGGTAAAGGGCCAATCACAGCGACCCTTTACCATGTGATAGCTCTGTCTAATGGATGTATTTGGGGTATATCTTTTTGGTATGTACGTGCTATGTGTTAGAAAATTCTTATAAATAACTTTGTGTAAAAAAAAAAAAAAAGTTTCCATATTCTTTCCACAGTTTCTGAAAACATGTGGAAAAAAATGTTCAAAAGACTCATTATGCCTCATAGAATATATGTTGGGGTGTTTGCTTCTCAAAATGGGGTCATTTTGTGAGTAATTCCATTGTCCTGGTGCTTCAGGGCCTTCAAAAGTGTAATAGGTAGTAAGATATTGATGTGTAATTTATGTCCCTAGAACACCCGATGATGCTCCTTGCATGTCAGACCTCTCTATGTAGCCAGGCTGTGGAAAAGTCTCACACATGTGGTATCCCCAGGAAGGGGTAGCAAAATGTGTTTTGGGGTGTAGTTGCAAGTATGCCTATGCCAGGGTGTGATAAATAACCCATTAATATGACAATTTTGTGAAGAAAAAAAAACAACAAAATTTTCGAAAGAAAAAAAAACTCACCGTGCCTCTTTCTAAATACTTTGGAATGTCTACTTTCCAAGAAGGGGTCATGTGGCAGGTATTTTTTTTACTGTCCTGGCATGTTAGGGCCTCAAGAAATGAGATGGGCCATTAGTACATCAGGACTGATCAATTTTCAATGATTGGTACCATAGCTTGTAGACTCTATAGCTTTCACACAGACCAAATAATATACACTGATTTGGGCTGTTTTTACCGAAGAAATGTAGCTGTATAACTTTTGGTCAAAATGTATGAGTAAAAATGATTTATTTGCAACATTTTATAACAGAAACTTAGAAAAAAACAATTTTTTTCCCCACATTTTCTGTCTTTTTTTCGTTTATAGAAAAAAAAACCCCCAGTAATGAATAAAAACAACCAAAAGAAAGCTCTATTTGTGTGAAAAAAAAAAGATGTAAATTTTATATGGGTACACTGTTGCATGCCTGAGTAATTGTCATTCAAAGTGCGAGATCGCTGAAATCTGAAAATTGGCCTGGACAGGAAGGGGGTATAATTTTCCACTTGGGTTAAGATAAGAAAATCCCACTAACTGCCCCAGCCCCCCCGCCTGACCCTAAATGCTCATTTGCTGGCAGCCCTGCTCTCTTCTCCTGGTCTCAAAGGTGGCACAGGCAGCAGTGGAAACCATAGTCTCCCACTTGTGTCAGTCAAACTCCTGTGAGGAGGGAACGGGGGCATGGCTTGATGGCACGTGTCTATGAATGCACACAGCCCAGCCCGGGATCACACTCGATGCCCAATCAGCAATGGGCTTGCTGATGGGGCACTTGGAAGAAGGAGTGGAAGGCGCTGGCAGGGGACTGCCAAACAGCCAGTAAAGGACTGCTCTGTGCAATAGTGTTGCACTGATCAGGCAAGTTTAACATCTTAGTTATTTTAATAAAAAAATAGCCTTTAAAATGACTTTTACACTGACAGGCTTGCTTACAATGGTCAACTTTTATTCATTTATGTATTACCTTTTTCCCATAAAAAAAAAAACATGTTTCTGTAACTATTGTGTGTTAGCCATAGTTATGCTGTAATTTGTTAGTCACTTATGTAAAGTCCATCTAAACACACAAATGCTACTGTCCAAGGATGGCCACATTGCTCCTCCATAGATACAGTGGAGCAGTGAGTATAGCCACCCTTAAGATGGAAGTGTGATACTGGCCACCAGTTTATTAGGTGAAAAAGAAAATTGATGAAGCCACCATATCTACTGTAAGGGTTGTAAGCTGCAATATATATATATATATATGTAAAGTTGATCCAGGGAATATGCGATTGCCTCTCGAGGGGATCAGAAAGGAATTTTTTTTCCCCTGCAGGGGACAAAATTGGATCATACTTTG